AGTGTTTCCCTGAGTTCTGTGAGCCACTTTAGCAAATTAATAGAACCTAAAGAGTGGGTGGTGGGAATCACAATTATAAGTCGGTCTGTCAGAAGATGAAGGCTAGAAGACTCAGCAAGTTTGCTCTTCCATCTTCTCCTACCTGCTTTATTCTAGCCATGCTGGCAGCTCATTAGATGGTACCCACCCAGATTGAGGGTGGGTCTGCTCTCATGCTACCTGGGGAATGCAAGGTGGAGACACTCTTAAGTAGGGAGCCTCTTTATCCCTAGGACTGACCCTAGAACTGTGTGAGGTACTGCTGGATTCTACTGACACTTGGCAGTACTATGAACAGCTCTTAACTGACCAACAAGGAGTTACTTGGTTTACAGACGGCAGTTCCAAAGCGATAGACAACATTCTGTTTGGATAGCTGCTACTTGGATCAAGGAAGTTAAACATATCAGTGAGGTGGGCTGAATTACATGCAGTTTTTTTTTTTTTTTTTTTTTTTAGCAGTAATGGAAGAAATGAACAGTGGTGGAAGTCCCTGTGTTTTAAGTTCTTTACTGACTCACAGGCAGTGATCAATGGCCTGTCACACAGCGTATGGAAATTTGAGGGGTGCATTAAAGTAGAACATGTCAGTGCCCATCAGAAGAACTCCCTTCCAGGTTGGGAAGGTGAATGGAATCAGCAAGCAGGTCTGTGCATGTGCTCCCTTGGAGATGTCCATCTGGGTCCATGAAATGAGTGCACATATGGATACTGTAGCCCTCGGGGGTCTACGAATAGGTCTTGACAGGAATAGACGTTGACTCTGGAGTGGGCTTTGCTTATGCAGTGGAAGATGAAAATACTCAGAATGCCATAAAAAAGCCAGAACAAAAGACAGTGTATGAATTTACAGGGTCAACCATCATTTCTTCAGACCAAGGAACACAATATACATCATAATGTTCAACAATGGGGCAGAGAAAGGTCCTCCTCAGAGTACTAGTTTGATGGAGAAGTAGAATAGGCAACTGAAACATTGGTCTAATACACGGGCAGATAAAAACAGTAACCATAACTTTTGTATGCACTGGGAAGCCAAAAAAATTTTTCTTTGTTGCAACATTCACTTCATTGCAGTAGTCCTAGAATTAAACGTATCTCCAAGGTTTGCCTGTACAGGGATACAGTGGAGAAGAAACACACAGAAGGCTCCAATAGCATAAGTTGGGTTTAATTTCTTAAGCAGGATGGTGAACAAACTTGGTGTTTACTATATAAGTCTGTAAATATTTCTATCCTGAAAACAGTTCACAACTAAAATGTATTTAAGAAAAAAAAAAAAAGAAAGAAACCAGAATAGTTTTAAAGTATACAGGAGGATGTGTGCAGGTTACATGCAAATACTACATTTTACATAAGGGCTTTTAGTATTCTCAGATCTGAGCATCTGCAGAGTTTAGTATTTGTAGTGGCACTGGAACCAAATCCCCAATCAAGGGATGACTCCTCTATAAATTACTAGATTATCTTCTAATTAAATGATCTTCAAAGATTACTATAAATAAGCAGCTTGCATAAAAGCTGGTTAATGTTACAGAAAAAAATAAAACAGGCCAGGCACAGTGGCTCACAGCTGTAATCCCAGGATTTTGGAAGGCCAAGGCAAGCAGACCACTTGAGGTCAGGAGTTCAAGACCAGCCTGCCCAACATGATAAAATGCCATCTCTGCCGGGCGCAGTGGCTCACGCCTGTAATCCCAGCACTTTGGGAGGCCGAGGCGGGTGGATCAGCTGGGCACAGTGGCGCGTGCCTGTAATCCCAGCTACTCAGGAGGCTGAGGCAGGAGAATTGCCTGAACCCAGGAGGCAGAGGTTGCGGTGAGCCGAGACCGTGCCATTGCACTCCAGCCTGGGCATCAAGAGCGAAACTCCGTCTCAAAAAATAATAAAAAAAAATGCCATCTCTACTAAAAACACAAAAAATTAGCCAGGTATGGTGGTGGGCACCTGTAATCCCAGCTACTCAGGAGGCTGAGGCATGAGAATTGCTTGAACCTGGGAGCTGGAGGTTGCAGTGAGCTGAGATCATGCCAGTACACTCCAGCTTGGGCAGCAAAGCAAGACTCTATCTCAAGGGGGAAATAAAAAAAAAAAAAACTGCCAAATTTCTGAAAGAGAATTACTTTTTCACTTACCATAATTGTAATTTCCCTTTTACACACATTGAGGTCTGGCATGTTATTGACATACATTCGCTTCAATGCACATCGGATTCCACCGTGAGTACGCACGAGGAAAACTGTGGAGAATCCACCTAAAAAAACACAGCACCAATAAATTTAAAAGAAACAGAAACAAATGCCAAAATCATGTAACATCATTGCGGAACTTACTATTGGAGGAAAATAAACAATGACTGTGCCCAAGACAAAAATAAGTGCAATAAGCTACTAGTAGATTAAACACCAAAACACTGGCTTCCTAAGCCAATCATGAAGTAGTACTTAGAGGAAAAACATGCTTCTCAAATGTAGATGCTTCTCTCCTAAATGCTAAACGACTAAAATTTCATCTTTTGCATACGAATATCTCTTATACAGTATAATAAAAAATGTCACAATTATGTTACTAAAGTTTGGTATATACAAGTGATTGCCTACATATCGGACTCTCCCTCTTGGATGACAAAACATTGATGTTATTTAATATGAGACATCAACGGGATCAGTTAGGTGCTTCCCTCCTCCACTTCCAGAAGATGAACCAACATTGTTTCTAAACCCATCATAAGAATCTCATTTACCCTGACCAGTAACTGATTTATAATTGGATATGTAACCAGTTCTCGCTAATTGAACATGTAGAGTCAGCCTGAGTTGCAGGGAATGATTTTCCACAGATAAAAGAGAGAGATTGGTAGATAAGACTCTGCTCCTCTGCTTTTTGATTTTGTTGCCTATGATGTTTAGACCTAATGCAGTCATCTGTGGCCATAATGGAAGAAATAATCAGAAAGAAAATGACCTAAAACGCAGACATATGGCCTACAGAATAAGACTCCCTCTAGAACTCACATAGTAAATGTCTTCATTACTTAAGCCATGATTTATATGGAAATTCTGTTAACTGTAGCTGAGAAAGCATCATATCTGAAGCATATAGCTAGGCAGGTATTCTAAAGAACAATTCTGTCACATCTAAACAAAGAATTCCACCATAACTTTTTAAAATTTACCTTGACACAGAACATGCTACAGCTTAATTACTTGTTTTTTTAAATGGTGTGTCGCTTTCATTAATTTGACAGTCTCTAGAAAGCAGCATCCTGAGCAATAATAAGTCACCTGCGTTCTGGTCAATACAAAGTTGTAAAACGAAAAGTAAACTATTAGAAATACATCATAGGGGAAAAAAGCTCTGATATGATTTGGCTGTGTCCCCAACCAAATCTCACTATGAATAACCCCACATGTCGAAGGCAGAGCCCAGTGGACATAATTGAAACATGGGGGTAGATTCCCCCATACTGTTCTCATGGTAGTGAGGTCTCACAAGATCTAATGGTTTTATAAATGGAAGTTCCCCTGTATAAGCTCTCTTGCCTGCCACCATGTAAGATGTGACTTTGTTCCTCATCCACCTGCCATGATTGTGAGGCCTCCCCAGCTATGTGGAACTGTGAGTTAATTACATCTCTTTCCTTTGTCAATTATCCAGTCTTGGATACGTCTTTATTAGCAGTGTGAGAGCAGACTAATACAAGTCTTAGGAAACTCCAGAATCAGTACATGCTTTTTCCAGATTCTCTACATCTTCCATTTGCAGTTATAAGAAACTGCGCAACCTCCCATTTGTAGATCTGGATTTCCATATACATCGTGTTGGGGAAATCAAATCAACCACCCCACAAGGCAGTTCTAGGAATAAATCAGATGATGACGATGTTTGGTACTTTAGGTAAAATAGGTAAAATCTCTAACAATTCAGGGCATTACTTTAAAAGAAACTCATTTAGCATTAATTTCATATGTAAACATTAACAAACCAGAAAGTAAAAGACCTAATGGAGAGGGCCACTTAAACTACCATATTTTATTTGGTTTTAAAATCTCAGGAAAATGTGGAAAGAAAGAATATATCTAAATAAGGAGGTGGTATGAGTATAGCTGAGAGAAATCATTCAAATAGCATTTGAGACACTTATCTATCTAGGTCTAGATTATTCCCCTGTAACAATGCTTTCCTAAAACAGAGCTTTGCATCAGAATTGCCTGAAGTGGTCTGTGTATGAATTTATCTTTAATAGTTTCCAAGTTCTGGCCCTAAGTCTGAATCAGCAAGTCTAAATGGGGACCCCATTTATATATTTGATATAGATACACAGACATAACGAGAGGAAGAGAGAGAGCATGCGCTAAAAGTCTCCCTACTTGTTATACTATTTTACTTTTGTATATGTTTTAAATTGCTTATTAGATGGAAGGGAGTAAAAAAGAGTCCCCAAATGGTTCTGACGCATAACCATGTAGCCACTGAACTAAGTTCCCAGAGGAACCATGGATCCTATATACCTATTCTTATCCACCCACAGAACAATGTGATTTTACCCCTGTGAATTAGAAAATGAGAAAAAAGTATCAAGTAGGTTTTCTTAATAAAAGCCTTTCCCAAAGTGAAAGCTTTCCAATTCTACTAACCCTAATTTAGATAGATCTTATCAAATATAAAGTTTTCCGAATAGAGAAGATATGTTCAACTTTAAGTATTTCTACCTAAACATGGTAAATAGTGATCATTAATAGTATCTGCTTTGAGAATAAAATGTAATAAATATTTATGCTTTCCCCAGTCCTATCTTTTCCAGAATTATCGATAAGCTAATTATTATTTCTGTTTGAAGAATGCACTTACGGGGAGGTAACTAGTTAGGACACTACAGTAGTCCAAGAGAGGTGTGTCGTATTTGCCACCACTCTGTAGCTTATCAAATTCTTAAATATTTACTTTTCCTCACAGAACTCTTTCATGACCAACCCAACTTCATGTTCATCACTCACTTAGGTACTTCTATCTAGAATTTGACTGTATTATCATGTACTTCAATTTTCCACAAATTTCTGTACATAAATCACAAGATTATTGGTAGTCACCACATATTCTACAAACATATGTCTAGGTCCAATTTAATGCTGTAAAGCATAGTTGTTATAGTAATGCTAAATTTTAGAATTCCAAACATGAAATTATCAGGGTATTACAAAACATTCTAAATGTTCTCAAAATCCCATAAAAGTAAAATTGTGACAGATATTGATCTGATGAAATACAATGGGAGCCTAAATGTGTTCTCATGAAAGCAAATTTGAGAAAAATGATTGGTATATTTTACACTCTGTAAACAATATAAATTGTATAACTAAATATAGAAGTTTCATTTATAGGTGTATTTTTTAAAGAGCAATAATTCTTAGCCACTTCCAGCTTTTTTCAAGAGTAGGATATAAGATTTAGACATGAAATAATTTCTTTTTTTTTTTTTTTTTTTTTTT